CTTACTTGTGCAAATGCACACACATTCAGAAACTAAACTAATTCATTCAGTACACAATTGCAGAACCTCTGTTATTAGTGCATCTATATAGTGTGTGCAATTTATGTAATAATCCTAATTAGTATTGCATCGCATACAAAGTGCACTGATTGAACTTTGAAAGATGCTCCTTCTGGGACCAACACACAGGAGAGAAGAAGATTAAAGTAGATTACCTTTACAATCCGTGCAAGAATCAAGAATGATGGAGCCACTGCTGCTTGATGGCTACAACAGATGACCAAATCCTGATTAGAGGAGAGCAGCCGAGCGGCCACAGCACACTGAGCAGCGCTGGCGAAATCCTGATTAGGCCGACCAAATCCAAATCAGGGCAGTACTGCAGCCTGGGGGAGGGAGGGCTGCCGTATGCTGAGTGGGTGGCGACGCTGCCGGCGGTGCGGCGCTGGAACCCTCGCTGCGTCGGTGGCGCGGCGCTGGAACCCTCGCGGCTTCAGCTTCGCGCCCTACCGCGTGACTTCCCGCGCGGTTCCTTTCGCCATAACCAGAGTTTTTCAGGCCATCTGTTTTACAGAGTTTTCCACGCATCGTGTCTCGGCGGCTCCGCATAATTCTTCCGTGAATCGAGTCCACCACCCGCTGCTCATGTGGATTGGGTTGAAGACGACGTGGCGGCCCAAATCAGTGTAACCCGGTCCAAAGTGCAATGGAAGGTAATATTACCCGGTGTTATGTGAAAACATGGGCCTAGGCCTGGTCCATATTGAAACTTTGGCTATTAAACCTGGCCCAAAGTGAAATTTACTCTAATAATAATAATACTTCAGATGTCACGCACATTTACTGTATATCGCTATGGGTGAAATATTGGATATAGTTAAGTTCAGTTCATAACTATGCTTTTTTTTGTGTGTGCTTATTTTCTAGGTGACGTATATTTTGCCCCTATCAACTATAGCCAAGTCGAAATCAACCCTTCACTATGAAATCAGATATTCTACAACCCTCAGCTAACTGCAATCCCACCTGTTTAATGGTGATTTTCATGATTTCGACAAATAAGTGCTAATCCGATGTACCTTGTACCTCATGCTAATCTGGTCGAGCAAACTCACTCTCTTTGTCGAGGTCGAAGGTGGTGAGGTCGAGGAACCATGCGCGGGTGTAGAAGCTGGTTCCTGTCTTGGGATCATACTCGAACAACTTGGACGACAATTCTTTTCTCCTCGCCCACCTCTCCTTCGCCTCCGTCGACGTCATTTGCCTCTCCCGCTGGGGCTTTAGGCTTTCCTCCCGCCGCTTCTGCTTCGCCGCTTCCACCTCCGCCTCCTCCTCCTCCATGAAAAACGGAAGATCAAAGCCTTCCTCCTCCACCTGCTGCTGCTCAGGCTTCGCCATGGAGATTCCTTCGCGGACACCCTAATCCATAAATAAAATTAAAATTGAAACCCTAATCCATAAAATTGAAACAGATCGGACTGAACCAGGTTGGAAGCTAGAAAGGGCAAAATCCTCCTACCTCCTCTTCTCCGCCGCCGCCGCCGCACTCGCCCTCGTGGAGAAGAGGGAGGTTGGATTGGGCTTTTAGTTTTAGGATTGGGAGGTAGAGGTAAAATGGCCTTTACGAACCAGGCCCAATTTATCGTTTCCGTAAGGAATAAGTTCACTTTGGCTCCCTTAAAAAGTCTAATATGTGAACCTGAACCGCAACCCTATCTTGACCCCTACTCTGTTAAAACCAGTGGTTTTGGAGAGCAGTTTCACTGACGTGCGTCTACGTGAAAGTGTTGACCTGATCTGCCATTGACGTGGCGCATAGGTGGCATTTGAATTGAAAACATACACGTGGGACCCATTCGTCATTCACACGAAAGAAAATATATATATGGGGCCCACTGACATGTGGGGCCAACATGTCAATCTATCCCGTCTTTCTCCTCCCTCTCTCTTCCTTATCTCACTCCCCCTTCGGTGAGCAGGGGCCAGTGATGGCGGCGCGGGGGCCGGAGTGGCGGCGGCGGAGACATGGGACCTACGCGTTGGCCCGCCTAACGAGTGCGAGGCCAGCACCTTCGCCTCCTCCGACCAAATCCACCGACGAGCCCACCTGTTACGTATGTCGCCGCCTTATCCTCCTCCTTCGGTTGGCTCATCCCCTCCTGTGAGCCGCGGCAACGGAGACAGCAGTGCGGTGCTGGCCTGGATGTGAGCCGCCAGCCCGCCAATGCCGCTATTATCGATTGGGGTGGGGACAAGATTGGGAATCAGCGGGAAGAGATGGAGGGGTGGTGAGAGAGAGAGGCGGTGGCGGGACGGAGCTCGGTGCCGGAGCTCGAGGGTGGTGGGGACGATGGTGACGGGAGCAAATAATCTCACGGACACGGATATGGGTAGGCACTACCCGTGCCCGTCGCGCCCGATTGCCATCCCTAGGGACAGCGGTGACGGGAGCAGGCTGGGGCACCTACTGCTCACCAAGGCGGCGTCGGCGTCAACCTCTCCGCGACATCGCTGTCTCAGGCTCCTCTCTCATCGACCGAAGTGGGGCGGAGCGGCGAACAAGGAGGATGCCGCCTCCTGCTCCGGGCTCTCCTTCCTCCTCCCAACTCACCAGCCACGAAGCTTGCCGCCCGCGGCCTCCTCAACGCCGCTCCCCCATCATCATCCCGCTGGTGCCACAGCAGGATGGCGCAACTCCGCGCTCGTGTAATATGTTTATCAAGGAAATAAAAATTCCTAGATTTCTCAAATATAGATATCAGAAATACCATCGCCAATTACCGTCACTTGATTCATTTTTATTCCAACTCGTAGATACTTAAAAAGTACTCCCTCGGTCCCATAATTTAAGGGATTTTGAGTTTTTGCTTGCACTGTTTGACCACTCGTCTTATTCAAAAAAATTTGGAATTATTATTTATTTTTTTGTGACTTACTTTATTATTCAAAGTACTTTAAGCACAACTTTTCATTTTTTTTTAATATTTGCACAAATTTTTTAAATAAGACGAGTGGTCAAACAATACAAACAAAAACTCAAAATCCCTTATATTATGGGACATATAATATTTATGAGGGCTGCTATATACCGGTATACCGTTCGGACAGTATAGGCCTACAAGCAGTTTAGCCGGACGATTCCTTCCGTTCAATTAGTATGTCATGTGTATTGTCATCGTGTCTCAAAAGGTGTGTCGTGTCACCCCATCAACCCATCATTTGTCATTTTGTCCACGCGCATACGCAAAAAAATTTTTCATGTGATAGCTAAGCTAGTTCGGTATAGCAAGTAGTAGCCTACCTAGCTACCAGGTGTCAAATCTGATACTAGGTAGGTATCACATCTGATACCGTCGGATGAGCATCAAGTCTATTATCAGGTATCATGTCTGGTACCGAGTGGGTGCCATGCCTCATAACAGGCATCGTGTGTGATACCGGTTGGTATCAAGTACCAGATAACCGGATGGCCAGGTATCATATTTGATACATGGTGGGTATCGGTCTTGATAAACGATACCTGCTGGTTATCAATCCCAGTATCATAGCTGCTATATACCGGAATTCCATTCAAAAACGATATGATACCGGTTAGTATCATGCGTTTTTGCCACATATCAGGTGATACTTACGAGGTATCAGATGATGCCTATCAGGTATCAAGCGATTCTTACCACGTGGTGAGTGATGCTTGCGATGTATCAGGTCCTGATACCTAGCCGGTATCGGGTGATAGCTATCAGGTATCATGCGATTCTACCACGTATCAGGTGATACTTGTGACGTATCAGATGATACCTATCAGGTATCATGCGATTCTTACCACATGGTGGGTGATGCTTGCGATGTATCAGGTCCTGATACCTATCAGGTATCATGCGATTCTACCACGTATCAGGTGATACTTGCGAAGTATTAGATGATACCTCATGCGATTCTTACCACGTGGTGGGTGATGCTTGCGATGTATCAGGTCCTGATACCTAACCGGTATCGAGTGATACCTATCAGGTATCGAGATGATACTTATCAGGTATCATACGATTCTTACAACATAGAAGAGGTATCATGCAATTCTTACAACGTAGAAGATAATTCTACCACACTCCATAGCCAACCATGACCAGGTCAACAAGCTCTTTGCACCCCGTCTTGTCTCTTTGCTCCCCTGAAGCAGCAGATAGATAGGATGAAGGCCCGGACTCGCAGCGGGATCGACGGCCGGCGACGAAGGCGGCGACTGGAGAGGGCTCGCGACGGAGTTGGGGCGCTGGCGGAGGGTGCATCGGCCGGCCACGCAGATGGAGCTGGAGGTGAGTGTTAACAGCGGCGCCGTGGATGGTGGGCGGCGGTGCTGGAGCTGCAGGCAGCAATCCGACGACCACGTCACTGTCGGCCGCATCCTCCGCCGTCGCTCCCCACGCCGGGCTCGTCGCCGCGGCCACGTCCTCCGCCGTCCGTGCCTAACGCCATGCTGAAGCTCGTCACCGGAGTCCGCGATGCCGGGGGCTCATGGGGGCGGCCGCGTCGGAGCTCATCGCCAGCGACCGCGTCCTCCGTCATGCACACCCATGCCACGCGGCTCGTCGCCGCGGCCACGTCCTCCGCCGCCCGTGCCTCACACCACGCTGAAGCTCGTTGCCGGTGTCCGTGATGCCGGGGGCTCGTCGGGGGCGGTCGCGTCGGAGCTCATCGCTGGCGACCGCGTCCTCCGTCATCCACACCCATGCCACGCCGGAGCTCATCGTTGACTTAGTTGCAGCAGCACGCGTGAGAGAGATGTTGTAGAAAGAATAGCTAGGTAGAAGAAGAGTGGATTGGTTGGTGTATATGCTATCCCGTCGGGACGGTATACCGGTATTTAGCATTTCCGAATATTTATATATACATTCTGAATAAATAAATTATAATATCACGCCAACCATTTTCTAGTTGGGGGGATCCAAAGTGAACTTATTCCTTCTCCTGTGCTAGAATTGGGTCTACTTCGTGAAGGGCTCAACCCATCTACAGCCCATACATCCAGCCTCTCCCTCTCGTTTCCTCTCTGGATCGGTCGATCTCCACGGTGGAGATGGTGAGGGCTTCGGCGGCGGCGGAGGAGGAGAGGAGGTGGGAGGCTCTTGCTATTTGCCACCATGGCGGACGTGTTTGATCTTCCATTGTTCGTGGAGGACGACGACGAGGATGCGGCAGCGGCGGCGAAGCAGAGGCGGCGGGAGGAGAGCCAGAAGCCCCGGCGGCCGCGGCCTCGGGAGCCGTGGTTTCTGGACACGCCGGAGATGAGGGAGAAGTCGGCGAGGCATAGTGCTTTGGCGGCCAAGTATTGGGAGCACGACCCCAAGATGGGAATCAGCTACTACACCCGCGCCGTTTTCTGCAACCTCACCACCTTCGACCTTGACAAGGAGAGTATGTACTCTACACCTCAACTAGTATGTTGTTATTATCATCGCATCACACTGCAAGATTACTGGGATGATGTTGTTCCTATAATTATTCGAATTGTATCTATCTATCTATTATATTATTAAAACAGTTTTGAAAGGAGACACCACGTTCGCTCTGTGGAGGCTAGAAATTCCCACATTAATCGTAGAAAAAGAAAAATATTTAAACCGTTAGATCATAGTAGATCTAGATTACAACGGTTGAGATTGATTGTATATATATGTAAGTCCTATTCAGATTTTAGAAAGATATAGCACGAACAATATAAATCATGTTTGGACTCCTGTTCATAGTCGGATTCCCAGCCGGACAAAGCAGAAAGGTTCTTTTGAGCTGATTACAACAAGCTCTTAATGACTAGCACATGCTAATTTTAAAAATATACTTGCAAGTTATATGGGTTCTCTTTTGCTTTCAAGTTTCTAATCTTAAATTCTACCAAGCACCTTTTAGATATTCAAACAAATAAGAACTAAGATGTACACGACAAATTAAATTTCTACAGACAAATCATCCCTGCATTTTTATATGAGCATCATTAAAAAAATACTCCCTTCGTTTCATATGATAAATCATTTTGACTTTGGTCAAAATCAAACTGCTTAAAGTTTGACCAAGTTTGTAGAAATAATAATAACATTTTCAACCAAAGACAAATATATTATGAAAATATACTCAATTATCAATTTAATGAAACTAATTTGGTGTTTTAAATATTATTATATTTGTCTACAAACATAGTAAAACTTAAATTAGTTTGACTTTGACCAAAGTCACAACAACCTATAAGCTGAAACGGAGGAAGTACATTATTAAGATAAGTTTAAAATTAGACATCACGTTCGCCCTATAGGTCTATAAATTATTTTCACGAAAATAAGAGAGAAATACAAAGTCTACATCATTAGATTATAATAGATCTAGACTGTAAGAGTTGAGATTTAATCGAAATATGTGTAAAGGCTTGACTATGTATTTATGAAAGAGCGTGGAAATAGAATTTGACGTGTGCTCTACGCAATACCCTTTGAAATCAAAATCAGATTAGCAAACTTAATTTACTGACACGAGACAATCACGTCCTGTACGCATAAATAAATTAGAAATTGTATATACGCACAATTGACACGTCATGTACAAAATCATGTGCATGGAAGGCAAACCAGCTGGACAGCCAAACTCCTTCAACCATATTCAAGTTTTGCACTATCCCGTGATCTCTAGAGAGTAGAGACATTATGTTTTCTTCTTTAAATTTTCTTAGTAACGAGCTTCCCTAATAGTTTTCTCTATATTTAGGATCCATATGGCAAAGTTCTTACTCTGAGGATGGGGCAGAGCTGAAAAGCGGTAAAAATTACCATATTAATAGTAAAAGAGTGAAATATTTACAGGATCTAGATTTTAATATGATGCATATTGATCGATATAGTTTTATACAGATAAATTATATCTATCTATTATATTATTAAAACAGTTTTAAAAGAAGACATCACGTTCGCTGTAGGGCTAGAAATTTCCACATTAATCAAAAAAAAGAAAAATAGAGTCCATGTAGAAATACAATTCAGAAATATCTAAAATTCGGAATTAAAAATAATCAACATTGATATAATAACCAAATACAAGATTAATTAAAATTTGAAATAAAAAATAAAATAAAATCCAAAATTAAAAAAAAGAAAATAAGATTTCAAGTGGAAATACAACTTAAAAATAACTTCGGAATTAAAATAAGAAATATTAAAAGAATAGTCCATAGAGAACACAATACGAGATTAATTAAAATTTAGAATAAAAAAATAAAATAAAATCCGAAATTAGAAAAATAAAAATAAGAGTTCAACTAGGAATACAATTTATAAATAACTTAAATTCGTAATAAAAAAATAAAGACTATTGAAAGAGGAGACAATGTAGAACACATGAAGAGATTAATTAAAATTCCGAATAAAAATAAAAGAAATTCCGAAAATAGAAAAATAATTATAAGATTTCACGTAGGAATATGATTTATAAAAAAATATTGGAATGAAAAGTATGAAATTTTCAAACAAAAATTTCATCTAGAACACGGATGACAAATGACAATAAATATTAGAGAAGCAACATATCTGTAAATGAGTAGAGTTGTGATGGTTGATGGGACATCCAAAAACTATTAACAAAACCCCAAATACAATCCCAATAATGATTAAAAGGAGAGATGACAGATATGTCGTTAAGCAATACAGTCACAGTGGTTGGCAAGACTTCTAAAAAGTAAAAAGTAAACCTCAATAATAATTATGTTTGATTAAATCTCAATGACATTAAAGATGGGAGGTAGCGAGCGAGCCGTAGATGTGTCCAGTAGCAAAACCGTTGATGGTTTGGTGGGACTTCTAGAAAGTAAAAAATGAACCCAAATGATAATTATGTTTGATTTTTAAAATATCAGTGAGGAAGCAGCCGAGCCGTACATGACTATAGTGGCGCGTTTGACGAGACTTCTAAAAATTATAAAAATGAAACCCAACGAGGCAATAAACTCTAAAAACTATAAGGTCCAATTTTTAAAGGTTCGGGACTTCTAAAAAGTAATAAAAATAAACCCCAACGATAATCATGTTCGATTTTAAAATCTGAATGACAATAAAGAGGGGAGGCAGCGGGTGAGCTGTAGAAGAGTACAGGCAGTGGGCGAGCCGTAGAAGAGTACAGTGGCAAAGCCGTTAACGGTTTGGCGAGACTTTTAGAAAATAAAAAATGAACCCTAACAATAATTATGTTCAATTTTTAAAATCGCAATGACAATAAAGAGAGGAGGCAGCAGGTGGGCTATAGAGGAGTATAGTGGCAGCATTTGACGAGACTTCTAAAAATTATAAAAATAAAACCCATCGAGACAATAAACTATAAAAACTATAAGGTCCATTTTAAAAGGTTTGATACTTCTAAAAATTAAAAATAAATAAACCCCAATGTTAATCATGTTCGATTTTAAAATCTCATTGATAATAAAGAGAGGAGGTAGCGGGTGAGCCGCAGAAGAGTACAATGGCAAGCCACTCTGTTTGGCGGGACTTCTAGAAAGTAAAAAATGATCCCAAATAATAATTATGTTTGATTATTAAAATCCCAATGACAAAAAAGAGATGGGACAACGGACGGATCGTAGAGGAGTATAGTGGCAGCGTTTGATGGGACTTCTAAAAATTATAAAATCGAAACCCAATAAGACAATAAACTCTAGAAATCATAAGATCCAATTTTCAAAGGTTCCAAGCAGAATGAATAGAAACAATGGTAGATTGAGCCAACAAAAAAATAATGGATGACTTTTAAAAACTATAAAATTTAAAACACGGGGATGATAAGGTTTGGTCCTTCAAAATCTTAATATAACGAGATGACTATTTAATAAATTTTAAGTAAAATCATATTAAAAGTAGATAAATTTATATAGATGCTAGCCGCGCAATTGCGCGGGCCACCCAGCTAGTTGTAATAATAATAAAGGTAGTATGTGGCCGTCTACTAATCTCTAGCCATATATATTCCATAAAGCAATGCCTACTACGCAGGATCAAATTGTTGACACCTCTCAACCAGGAAATCCGATTGAACTCACACACAGCGAATGGCAGGTCAATAATTTTCAACTACATATGGACAGGAAACAACGCAATAAGCACCAGAAAAAAATTAATACAGTTCATTAAATGATAAACATTTTGTTCACATTCTATCAAAAATAGATTAGACAAATATATTCTTACCATTCCAACCCTACCATGGTCCATGTATCTGCTTGGGAGCTGTTGTTAGTGAAGAAAACTGTTTCCTTAAGATTCACTATCTAGGTGGGATCCTCACTAACTGGGGAAAATTGATTATTCCTTTCTTCACATGATCATTCCCCCCTCCTTATGTTGCAATTGATCACTTGAAGGCAGTTGACTATTTGCCACTTCTGGTATGAAATGGTCGTCTGTCCCAATTCCTTCCTCACCTCCCATGCAGCATCAAACTGCGATGGTGACTGAGAAGAAGGAATTTGGTTCGGTGGCACAATTTCACCATCTTGCCCTTGATAGTCAGTGTTAGGACCACCAGCTGCCATGGGCCAATCCACATGCTCATTGCTAGGGGCCTTGTTTCTGCAGTGATTGTGAATTAGCGGTGAGTTGTATTTCTTCTTGGAGACCTTGCACTGGAGGGCCTAGACGCTGGCCATGAGCTCTAGATGCGGGTGTAGAGGCATAAAATGTTTGACTGCTTAATCCAGGGTGGAGGGTGAGGAGGGAAATCACGGTGCTGTTGTCTGCCCACGCATGCTACGTCTAGGAACGCTATGTCAGGGATGAAGTGGAATACCAGGCGGAGATGTTCTAGTTTGCCTCAGGTCAAAGTCAAACACAGATAAGCTGTTATATATATGATGAATTAGACAGCTCATACTGGCTTTGCTAAGATAAGCAGGGATTGGCAATCCAATCATACCCCTTGGTGGTAAAATACCAGAATTTAACTTGCATGCAGTATGCTATTGAAGCTCATAGATCTATTTGAGCAAACGGACAGGTGCATGGTAGGAACTTTCTCAACCATGGTAGATTAAAAATGGCTGAAATACTGTCCCAACTGCAATAATTTGATTCCTGAAACAGCTAAAATAATTTTAACAACAGCTCAAAACAAAGGATAAACTCTATTTACCCTATGCAGACCTATGTCCTCTAGAGACTTTTGTACTCCAGAGACATTATCTCGTGTATACTTCAGTTAAATTCTTCCCTGTTGCAAACTAACTACATTTTCATTTTTCTCAGCGCAATATGGTCCAATGCGCTTTACAGATTCAATTATCAGAGAAGACCACAGGTTGACTGGCTCGTTAAATGTACTTTCGCTGAAGGTGAAATCGTCAGATGTTGGTTACCCTATCAATCTATATGGGACTGTGATAGTCAGAGATGGATTAGATTTTAACTGCAACTTCATCTTCCGGCGCAATAGGAACAATTGCCAAGTTATCCAGTCAGAGGTGTTTCAAAGAATATCTCTTAACACTTCCAATTTTCCCTATTTCACATGATACATTGAACTAATTTCTTTACAGTTCTGTACAGTTAAGGCATACTGAAGCTAGCTACTTTTATGCTGTCTATATGCATCCACCGTACCCCTAGTTTCATATGAAATACCAATACTTATTTCTTTTTCGTGGATTTGAATATTAAGTAACATTATTGTATTATACTTTCGTTAGTCATGTCATTTAAATAATAACAATATTATATTCTATGGATAATTCTATAATTTATTTTTATATAAAGCATTAGTATGACATATTGCTAATGTCTTATGTAATTTTTCTTGCAGAATGAAAATATAATTCTCACGGGCCCAACTAGAGGAATTGTTTTCCATGATATCTTTTTTGAGATAAATTTGAAGATTAAGGAATATGAAGAGTGCAATGACAAGGAATTTAGTAAAGGGTTGCTTGAGATGAAGTTTCACACTCGTAAGTCTAAGATTGTGAGTGAAACCTTTGAGAGTAGGCTCAGTGAGGTGGAACTAGTATCTGCTTGTGTTAAGGAAGCCCTGGAGGGCACTGTTGAGATCACGATTCTGTCAGGACCTAAAGTTTTTCATGGAAAAATTAGTGCTTGCACAACAGATGTTTCGAATTATATTGTACTGTATGATAGCAATGTTTGTGGTGCAACCTCAGTTGGGGATGACAGAGTTATGCAACTGCTGCGACGTGTTGTAGCAGTATCAGCAAATGAGATATTGATACTGAATATTCATGCCCATAATATTCATCAGAATGATAACGTATCCAGTCGCACTTTGAGGTTCACTCCACTTGCTAGAGGGGCAGATGAGGAGGTGATCAATTGCGATCTTTACAAGATGCAGGTGAAAGTTGTTTGGTCAGTCTTCAAGGGTTAGAATAGAATATACTCCCTTCATCCAAAAGTCTAAGACCTATTTTATTTTTTTGTTTTTAAGTCTAAGTCATATTTATAGTTACTATGTGCTATATTAAAATAATTAAATGCTAGTCGAGGTGGAAGGTGGTGAGGTCGCACAAGCTATCTACTCCCTCCATCTCATAATATAAGCGATTATTTTAAGGATGGAAAAAAACTGCAATACCCATATTAAATGTGATTTTGGTTGTGGTGAGTGGGTAGTTGGGGGTTAAAATAGGTTTTGAATTGGAGTTGATGAATATGACACAATCTTTTATACTGTAGAAGTAGAAGGGATAATGGGTGTGTTTGGTTGCAAGTCACATTTTGCCACAGTTTGCCACGCCTAAGGTTAGGCAATTTTGACAGGTGTTTGGTTGTAGCCACAGTTGTGGCAAGATTCCCCTCCAACAAATTGGGTCCCACGTGTCAATGGCTCAAAAAAGTGTGGCAAGATTCCCTTAGGCTTAGTAAGTTGTGGCTAACAATTTGATCACCTCACCTTAGGCAAGGTGTGGCAACTTTTGTTGGCAAGTAATGGTAAAGTGTGGCTGGAAACCAAACAGCCCCAATATCTCTTATATTACTAGACAAAGGGGTAGGGGTAGACGTCTTGGGATGTGTTGTTGCTGCTTCCTCCTCGTCTTGCTGCTCCGGCTCCATATGCTTTCTCTGATGCCGGGTGGTTCTGTCATGGTGGGCAGGATATGGGCCTTCAGGTGGCAGGCCCAATCCTCCTTTTTTTTTTGTGACACCTATAACTCACGTAATCTGCACAGAAAACAGTAATGCATGTTCAAGCACAAAATAAAAAACAAAAGTACATATATAACACTTTCCATCATCAGATCAGAGACAAGTAAAAGAAAGAAACTTACTTGCACCGAATTAACAGTGCATCAACATCATCCTGGATTACATTACATTACACCATAGTACAGTACACATGACTGGATTAACAACACACAATGACACGGCAGACACAACAAATTAACAAACAGTTCAGCAAAGCTGATACTAATAACTTCAGCTTAAACTGTAAAAACTAAAAACAAGGCTTAGGGCTTAGGCTAGTTTTGTGCCCTGAGTAGTACTCTAGTTATGTTACAGCATCAACAACAACCCATCACTCACTCATATTGACAGCTAACAGCTTCCTCTCTCTTTTCTTTTCATCTCTCTAGTGCTAAATAAAATTTGTACAGCAGAGTACGTATACTCATCTTCTTCTTCCTCCTCATCTTTACAACTTCTTCCTTCCATATTGGATTAGCACTTGCACACATCACTCACTCAATCCATCATCCATCCCTGCTGCCTGCGGCGTGCTCCTCAACTACATAATATACACTCTCCAGTGCAAGCGATTTTAAGATGCGTATTTTTATTATTTCTCAAATAGGCCATACTGGCCTACGTTTTTAGTTGCAAAAAACGAAAACGTGAGTGCAAACCAAACCTAGCCACTGTTAGCTGTACAGCATTGCTTGCCCTTCAGGCGGCACTGGTGCATGCTGGTTGAAGCCCTAGTCGCTTCTCTGCATTTGCGTCGCAACAACGAATATTAAACATTGTTAGTCCCTATGGCAGCAAGAAACAATGGCTGAATGACAATAAGACAGTACAATCATACCTCCAGCAGCAACAAGCTTCTCTACGCGTGCTACTATGTGCTTCCCATAGGTATACTTCTTCAGCGTGTTCAGATGTGCTTTTATCCTTGTAAGGATCGCCTCCCTCTGCTGATCATCACAAGTCTCTAGCACCTTCTGCACCACATAGTTTGCAAACTGATCTTTCATCATTACCTGCAACAGGTGCAGCGCAGTTAACTTCCATCAGGTCTCTAAAATCAGCTTTCCATCTTACAAGATTTAGCAAACTTGTAGCTGGACAAATCTTAAGCCAAATTTGGTTTGTATAAGTTTTAAGAATGCAAACCTCAAGGTGTTCACTCTCATTAGTGGATCCAAGCATTTCACTGATCAAAATCTGTCGTTCTACAGGATTCCCAAAGGCTAAGCACTTCTCAATGACATTTGAGGCAAACTTTTGCTGGCTCATTTGAACTATTTGTCCAATTAACTTCTCGATAATAGCAGATCTCTCATGTGGTTTTCCGTGCTCCAGTACATGCTGTAAAGTAGTGTGTTCAATGTTAAAACAAAAAAAGAGTGAAAATAAAATACCTTCAAACTAACATAGGATGCCAAGATTCTAAGAACTAAGACTGAAAAGTGAAGCAGAATTCAACATTAGCACACTTTTTTTTTAGATAATGGAATGCATTCTGGTCTTTACTTCAGAGAAGCTACAACCAATTCTTACAGAGTTTACAGGGTGAATAACCGTGGATTACAAAATTATGGCTTAATTAAAAACTAGAAAAACTACTAGGAATATCATAATTGTTGTTTCAACAACAGCAGATAGTTAGCAGTAACCATCCATTCATTTACATATTACTGTGACAGGACGGGTACGATACTGGAAGATCAGGAAAAAAACAACCTAAAGATGCTACTGCAAAATCAGAAAATGGTCTACCTCACTTCACTGCAAGTCACCATTAAGAAAGCATAAGACTAGAAATATCTAAATCTTAAGAAAGCATCAAACAACTAGAACACACATAGTAATTGCGAAGCAGTAAAATCATTTTGAAGTAATTACGTTACACTATGTAAATGGTAAAACAATCTAGAAGTTTGGTTAGGTTCAAAAGGTATATGATACAAATCATACAATTTGCAACAATGTCATGGGGCAGACCTGAACAACGTAGTTGCCGTATTGATCTTGAGCCAGCAAGCAAACGGACTGGAGAATCTCATCCATCATTATTTGCTGTGTTGTAGGATCATCACAATGCTCCAGCACCCTCTGGGAGTTTCACATGAAGGATGACAAGTGAGTTTGCATATTAACATCTGTAAACCTCAACATAAACTGATTACACGCATATTATATGCATACCTGTATAACCCGACAACCATATGGATGAGTGGATAACATCACAACTTGACCATAGAATGTTGAGACAATGAACTGGATAGCATGTTGAGGGATGCATTCTATGCATTTCTGTATTACATGGTTCCCATTTTGATCACGTACACAGCGCATGACGTGTCCATCCAGCTCAGCAACCATTTTAGTCTGCTGATCTAAACCAACAACCTCTATAGCCTGCATATATATCATCCATGACATCAGATTTTGCCTTCCTTGATATCCTTCAATCATTTATGCATTCATACACTTAACAAAGGGTCTGTACTTTGTATAGATAAGAGCAAGTCATGACTACATCAATGCCTATAAAAATATTTCCTGAAAGTGTTCCATAGTTTGGTACTGTTGTTATTGGATGACAGAGAATACATCTGAGGTGTCTTACATCAGAAGTGAGGAATTGTACCATTCACTGATAAAAATACACACAACCTCAATCAGTCACGACAATTTTGTTTTGCTCTGCTCTTCCAATGGTTGGTTCTGACCATTTATGTATTTGTATAAGTAAGCAAAAGGAGTTGTTTATGGTCCTTGGGAAGTATTGAGAGGTAGAACAAGTTTTCAGTGCATTAAATAGTAAATGCAACTAGGACCCATTCAAAAGGGCAATAACACAGATTAATCAGATAAAAAATTCCAAAAAAGCAAGAACTCTTAATAACTTCCAAGGTTAAAGAAAAGATCCAGTAATAACCACCTTCTGTATAACCCGGCATCCATACATCTGAAGACTGAGAGCAAGAACACGTCCAATAAGCTGGTCGGCCAATTCCTTTATCTGGGTAGGGCTTCCGTGCTCAAAGAACTAGTCAAATGACAAACTATAAGAATATTTATCACAAAGTAACACTTGAAGAGATTATGTTTTTCCCCTTAACCCCTTTACCTTCTGAACAACATAATTTCCAAATACATCGGTCATCAACGTGAGAGCTTGAGGCATGATTTCTGAAAAGACCATGTCCTTCTCTTCAGTACTGGCCGTTTCTAGCTTTTGCTGTATGAATCGGCTTCCATATTGATCAGCACTATAAGTTTGTCAATTATTAGTAGATAAACCATGTAACATCAATAAGGACAAAAGCGTTGTCACAATCATAGTTAACAAGAGACAGATCAGATGGAAACAGTCACATGTCTTGATGTCTTGTACTAATGTTTTTACATACTGTAGCACATGTCAAAGCATATCTCTAACATTTTCTTCCCCGGAAATAGATAGAAACATGTTGTAAGAAATAAATGGAGAACAAACTAGATTAAACCAAATCATAAATCTAACCATATTATTATTCATGTCAAGCCTTTTTTGGTTGATCATTAAAAAAAAACTAGTCAAAAGCATTAGTAGCCGCGCTGTACTTGAGTACTGCAATTCAGCAGGCTATAGAAGCTACAAGGTTATGAAATTGACAAGTGTACCTGAACTCAACAACATGACCAGCAATTTCTGAGAGCTCATAAGATTTGCTTTTGTTGCTCTTGAATTCCTCCAGGAGTGAAGGCATCATATTGATGTTCATCTTTCCACCTAGGTCAGGATTCCATGAACCAAAGGAACCACCAAAGTTTCTTATACCTGATTGCATGCGCATGCTGCGTTCACCATGCCTAAGTGGACTACCAGGTGCAGCAGGGGAAGAGGGAAGAACAGGACTCATCAAAGGACTTCCAGAATAACCAAGGCCAAATCCAAGGTTTCCATAGTAGCCACAGTTCTTCTGTGACTGAAGCAATGGACTAGCATAAGCTTTCTGAGGACCAAGTAAATCCATATAAGAACTTCCCAGATGGCCACTGGCCATGAGAGGATCATCACAGCTAGCTGCGAGTTGGGCAGCAATCTCAGCTGCCTGAAGGTACTGAATATATGACGGATCAATGGCTGTTTGAAGAGAAGTTGCTGCATTTGGACTTCCAATTCCATTGTAATTCAGAAAGTTAGATCCACCAACCAAATTCTGCCTTGAAGATAAAGTCCCACCTGGGGACCTAGAACCGATCCTAGGAGAAGCAAAGCCTGATCCAGCAGACAGATTGTCAAACGATGTGAAACTAGCAGCATTAATTTGATTTCTTATCATAGAAGAATTAGGCGAGTTTGCAGAGTAACCATCAGGTGCCTTAAAATGTCCTTGTTCGGGATGTTTCATATAGGAGTGTTGCTGGTTGCCATTTGATTGATCACCCTGACGATCAAATAGAAACTTACGGACATTATCAACATCCTGGTAGAGCTCAGACTGGGTCACAGTTTGCTGTCCACTAGCTGCTCCAGATGATGATAAATTCATCCCAGATAAAGCAGCTATCAGATTATCAGATTCACCAATAGCAGACGAACTTCGACGGAAGGAAGATGAACCACCATTGTTCTTCTTATCATCAGCACT